GTTAATATTATTATCTCAAATGCCACTAAAATTCTTAAAGTCGTAACATTAAAAACGAGAAAAACAAACGACAATCCACTTTATAGCAGGCGCATATAAAAGGATATAAGGTCTCCCAGGGTTCACCTCACGTTTTCTAGTAAAGTAATGCACGCTCTATAATGCATACATACATGTGCACCTATATGTACTAAAAAATAATAACATACAAACAAACAAACAAACACGTATGGAACGCGATTTATTGGAAAATGTATTGTACCTATATCAGATTTACTGAAAATGTGATAAAAACAATCTCTTCGGTTGTAAACAAAATACGTTTTTTTTTTCAAAGCAATACAATGCTTCGATATTACAAACGATCATTATAAAAGCGCTTTAATATTCATTAGAATTGTAATTATTTCGATATATACACGAGTGAAATATATTTATCAATTTAATGTAAAATGGGAAAACTCGGAGAGCCCTAAAATGTCTAAATACGTAATATTTTATCAAACGGACATTTTCGTACGCATGATTATAGATTTTTAATTGGAAATTATTCACGACTGCACACCGATCAAGCATTCATAAATTCAAGTATCAATTAATAACGTTTTATTAACAATGTTTGTTTGTCACTTCGACCGAAATCAAGTCACGCGATCACAAATTAGGTATAAACGTTGAAGAGGTTAAAGTGCTCGGAGATCTAAGCAAATTAGTAGGCTGCACATTTCTGGTTTCACGTTTCTACCGACTGAAACGGATGGGTAGAAAGAGGGACATTAAAAAATGGTCTACCAATTTGCGTGCAAAGCACAAAATAAAAGCCCAGAACGCTTGTGATTTAAACGGAGGAAAAAATAGAAAGAAAATTAATTATTCCGAACGGATGTACCTATATAATGTTATAATAAACACGACACACGTTTCAAAAGAATTCAATTAAGTAATAAATTACATTTTTCGAGGGTAGTAGCAGAGAATATATTACATTATTATAATCATAATAATAATATCCAATAAATCGTGTTACGACGACATTATCATATTATAATATTATTATTATTGTGCGTTTACTCCAACATACTTCTTCGAAAACACCCGCACTGATGGTAAATCAAAGACGGAGGGGTAATTAATTAATGTTCGACGATATTCTATTAGTGCAACAGCGTGTATACAAATAACGTAAACGAGTTTGTTCTTCGGCAGAAAACATCAGCGGATGACGAGCATTTCGATAAATATTTATTTTACCTTGACGATGAAGGTATACTTTTAAAACGATCGAAAAATAAAACGTTACTGTCGCAGTGAATCGAAATTATAAACATTATAATACAGAAATACAAAAAACAAAAATAATTTCATTAATACGCGAGCGGCGTCAACAAAAAAGTCGTGGCGATGTATAACGTACACAGGAAAGTCGACACTGATGCCGTCGATAAATAATGTAAATTTTCTCACACGGTAAATCGTTGGAATTGTTGGCTTAAAGTGATTTTTTTTTTTTTAATTCTTCCGAGGTTGACTTTTTACACGATCACAAAGCGCGCTATCGGTCTTTCGTGTCATATAATATGTATATGTATTTTTCGGTCGCCGTTATTTTTGTTTTCGATACGTAAAAAATTCAATATATAAAGGACTCCATATAATGCGCGAAGGATAGCATGTACATAGAAATATAATAGACTATAAGCTTACCTTCTGTATAAACAATTTATGTACGTAGACAACACCACTACTTATGTATATGTATGAATACATGTGACTTATTTTATCAACATAAATAATTATTAAACCGTTCTCTGTATTGTGTGTACACGCGTGGGTACCTATATCGATTTTCTTTGGTAATGAGATGCTCTGTGAGGTTTTTCTTTATCGCACCACCACTGCCCGTGCCATTGTGAACGAACAGAGGCAGTGGCGGAGGCCGAGTGAACTGTCGCATACATTGTTGAAAATGCTAATGGCACATTTAGCCTTTGGTGACCTTTTCGTGTTGACATTTTTATTGCACGTCCGGGCTGTGCTTGATAAACAAAAAAAAAGAATAGAAAAAACGAGGATGAGGTCTGTATACTGCAACCGGGTACAGACTGTGTACGTATAACAATACGCACGCATTAAAAGTGTCGAATTTAGAGAGGGTTCACGGAGCTCGTACTAAACTCTCCTCACACTTTGAAATATCCAAAAAAAAAGTATAGGCAGATACCTCAAGCTGATGGGATACCCTTATCCCATATAATAGTAGTATGCGTAGACGATACAGTATCCTGCACGATACGGGGTGGACGGTCATAGATTTTTAGAAAATAATCCGGGCAACTGATATTACTACATTATGAATGTATTGAATGCGGAATAATTGTTGTCCGTACGCTGTTATTTAATTTATTATAATCTTCTGCGCAGTATCGCAATTGCAATGATTGTCCGCGCGCAACCGGACACGTATCGTTTGTAACAAAAATAAAAAAAATGTTTCCGATCCCAGGACGAAAATGTGCGAAACATTCACAGTTGTAAAGAGACATTTAGACTATCATCAAGTGCACTTTCAAAAACACTCGAACCCCGGTTGTGTTCGGGGTAGAAGGAAACAATTGAGAACACACCATATTGCGCGTCAAACGCGGACGACAAACGTTTTATGACGTTATTGTTTTTCACAGCGACCGACCGCTGATGTTATCCGGAAGAGATATTTCCAGCCGGAGTCCCGTAAAAAGGAAACGCGCGGAATTATTATTACGGAACGGAAACCGCGTGGCGCGTGCGAGGAAACCAATGACGCTGAGGTACCCTGCTCACACATTTATATATATACACACACACACACGCACACACACACACACACACACACACACACACACACACACATATGTTTAAGGACAAAGGGCGGCTGGTAGCGGTCGTAACAGATGTCCTACTCTCCTCCTTTCCACTATATATCTCTTTCTGCTTTACCCACCCTTTCTGCTTTCCCTCTATCCACGGTTTTTCTCTCTATCTGACGTCTTGCGTTCAGTCACCATCACCCGCCGCTAAACGCGATTGTGTACCACGGTGCACACCGGGAATAATATTATAGTTTCCTGCGCGAACGTCACGTATCGTTAAGCAAACGCATGAGACTTGCACTAGTGTTCCGCGACGCGATCGCACTGGGAATTTGGATTGTTGGAATTTTCTTGGAAAAAACAATGAACGAACGAACAAACGAATGACGAGAGGCAAACCTCAAATTAAACATGAGCCTGCGGACTAAACTGGATTTTTTTAATTTATTTTTTTTTTTTTATTTTAGTTCTCCTTTTCGATTACATCAATTTCGAAGTCTCCGTTTGGTAGTCGTAAAAGTGATCCATTGCTATTCTATTACGATATTATATTGTCTTTTTAGGAGTAGGTACCTCCATATGTTAGGCACATCTAATCGACGGCGTACCGCGAAAACGAAACTCTAGTACGTAGCTCTTTTTATTATACGCTTAAACTCTACAGTTAATTCACCTCTACCGCTCTTACGATAAAGGTTTAGCCCGAAAAGGACGCTATCAAGGTTTTGAACCGATTTCCTACGTAGCTGATATCGATAACATAATAATTGAAATGGATATAACTATGGGAAACGTAATATATTTTTTCGTGGACGATATCATAATAATTTTATGCCGAACAGATTTATTACCGCGTTCGTTGAACGGACACGAATATTATGAATTACTGCTTCTGCCGTTCAATCTATTCTCTCACCGCGGAATTATATTTTACAAAATACGTCAGTGCAATCGATCATGCATCAACGGTGTGAACACGCACACGCATGCACGCACACGTATATACATACACGTGCACACACGTTACTCGTTGTATCATTGTACACTTAAATTTATAATTTTATAAACTATACGCATGGCGCTACATGACGCCATTTCACGAAAAAGCTTCAAATAAATTAATATAAATCAAAGCTAGTATACAGTAATTTATTTAAAGCACGTGTAGTGCGTGTGATTTTCAAAGAAAATGAATATTAACAGTGAGAATTAATGTGACGAAAAAATAAATATATAAATAAATATTATATATTAATATTATAAATATATAATTTAGAGGCGTATGCGCGTTTTTTATTACGCGCGCCGAGACCCAACTCTTTACATTGATATAAAACTATATGCGCGTATATACACCCGTACACGTATATAATTTGTGAGTTATACTAATATTTAATACATATACCCGGGTATAGGCAATAATATTGTGTGTGTGTGTTTTCACGTGGCCATAAAACACAATGGGAATCTCGACGAGTGTGTATATAATATTTATGTGCGTGCGCAATGTAACTATTTATAATACCACACGCCAAAACCGTTTGCTATTGACTTGCTCGCGTTCACGGTTTTGCGGTGAAAAAAAAAAATTCAAAATACATTTCATTAAGGCATTTTCAGTTAAATTTATCTGAATAATGACATAAGGTTACTGGCCAATGAGAAATTATTTTTATTTGATACAATACAAAACAAAGTTTTTTCAACGGATGAAGATTAATACAATTAGTTTATACATATTATTCAATAGTATAAAGAGATTAGTTTGACAGATGAAAAAATTTAATTTTTTTTTGTTTATAAATGTTGTGAACTAATATTTTTAAGTACATTGTTTTGAGTTACAATATGAAATAATTATAATGTGTATTTATTTGAGAAATTTGAAATGACGATCCCGAGATTACTAATTTTATAAATTGTCAACGACAGTGCAAGTACCTAGTATGGTTAGATATCGGTCATCTTACGAGTAAATTTTTAAAATAAAATCCAAGAAAGTCGAGCGTACATACCATATAGTGTGCATATAATAAAGTGTATAAGGTAATGTTGCGTTGTAGACGGGAGATAAAAATGCGGCTAGTCAATGAGGTTTGTAGGGGGTGAAAAATTGGAGCAACGCGTGTGAGAATGACAAATGAAACTTACATGGCACCGACATATAATGTGTCACGATTTTCATCCAAGTGAAAAGTCCTGTAGTACATTCGGCCGCAGGACAACTCTCGCACGTGATCTGTAACAGACAAACAAACGACCGTAAATTTATGCCCACATTTGATGAGGAGATCAAGGCACATTCTTAAGTGACCTCTGAAAGGAAAGCATATCAAATATATAAAACGTATATACGTCTGTGTGTGTGTGTATGTGTCTTATACATTTTATGTATTATGCAGTAACACGTCATGTATAGATAAAATATACAATTATTTTATTGTGCTTTGAAAATATTTAACAGAATTATTACCTAATTAATATCTCGCACGTTATGCTAATTGTAGATTGACATAAGTTTTAATTTGTTTATCTCCGTAGTACGTATGATATGCGCAAATGTGAAATAAAACGCTCATGTTTCAAATGTATCATTTGAAAGAAAAATAAAGTCATATTACACGTCAAAAAACGGTATTTTACATAGTACGTGTATTCCGTTATGTAATTTCAAACCATTGATAATATACCAACATTATTCGAAAATACTATATCCAAACGATGAGTGGAAATTAAAGTTTTATGAGTGTTCAAAAAGTTTCATTTTAACACAAATTACATACGTATCGCGCTGCTGGCATTCCGAACATGACTGACCAATTGAGAGGAACTGTCAATAGAATATTACCATTAATTATTATTGTTAAAACATAAACGACTAACAAATTCCCCGATATTGATATATTTTAATTATTTTTCTTACGTAAAAATCGACTAAAGATAAAATATTTTCATAAATTTACATGAATGTTGTAATTTCCTAAATTATTTGCATTTCTATCTTATTATGACTAATATTAAAACAGTTATAGCAACTATAATATTTCACGGTATTTTTTTGAAATATTCATGATACTCATAGATTGTTTTCGTATTTTTTTTTTTTTTTTGTATGGACACTTATTTTATTTTTAATATACAAAAAAAACCTGTTTCGAGTGTAAATTTTTTAGAGGTTATTACGTCATTATTTGGTAAAGATTATTATCAACATTTTAGGACGTTACAATTTACTTAAGTATATGAAATAATGCATTCACGATTAGAAGCGAATATGTTGCAAAAGTCGAAATTGTATTATATTTGCGAACACCTAACTAAAGTATAAGTAGGTACGATAAAAACTTGTTTAAACGAAATCGAGACGGGTCTTTGGGTCGTACGTTTTCGTGGGGCGGTCCTCATTCCGACGGGTCATTGTCGTGTATACCCCTCGGAGAGGTTATTTTTTTTTCGTTTTACAAACTGTAAATTACTAGCAGTAGTGTGTGTACGCGTATGGGTAAGTCCTCGCCAGTTAAACAAACTCGTCCGCAGCGGTGGTAAGGCGCAACGGGCCGAACGATAAACTTGCGTTGCCGCCGAGCCGCGAAAGTTTAAAATTTACTACAATGTACATAAGCGTATAATGTATAATATGCACACTCGATGACTGGCTATATACACAAGTCTGAATACTGAAACGAGGAAAAAGGCAACTAATGACTTTGAGAAAGATTTCTATAAATTAATGAGCAACGCTGTATTCTGTATGTTCTTTTTTTCTTCTTCTTTTCTTCGCCTTTTCCCCAAATTGTTTATGTTCTTATGTTAATTGTTAATGTAATTGTAATTAATATTATTTATATAATTATTGTTCAAGTTATAATCAATTATTCAGGGTAAACAATGGAGTCCATGAGGAAACGGATTATGATAGAAGTAGTATCCAGTTAAAAACGTTTACAAACATTAATAAACCGTACAACCTTTAAATATTGTACGGATTTTGAGTTATCATTAGTTAGCCACGTGGTTTAATGTAAATTAAATTTTCAAATTCGTTTTGTATAAAATCACGTTTTTTGTGTAATGTCGTTACAGCGAACAATCGAGTTCTTTTGAACATAACATAATGTGTATTACATTTTGCATTGTTCGTTTGACCAGTTTTGTTCGCAAAAAATAAAATATATCAACGATATTTTTTGCACTTTGACTTGGTTATAATATTTTATGCTTATTATTTTCATACAAAAATCTTGATATAATCTGTAAAAGTAATAATTTCGTTTTTTTTTTAAATTCTAATTTTTCATATATTGTTAACACATCAAGAAAAAAAAATACAATTAAACTTCTCAAAAAATTTTACTTTGAACTCATCATTACTATATCTATGTACTCTCCTTACGACGTCATTAACCGAGGTTTATAGATTATAATAATTTATAAATGTTGGTCTTTAACTACCCGATTCCGTAGTATGTATTTTTTATAATCAAAATGGGAATAACATGGTATTAGCAAATAGGAAAAAACAAACATCAGGGCATAATAGTGTGTGAAAAGTGTTTTATATTATTCTAAAGTTAATTTTTTTTTATTTACTATCTTCTTCATATTGTACTCCGTCAGTCTAACGAGATAAGACCGACACGGATCGGCTTTCATCGCTGACGATAAGACAAATAACGGGAGACGTAATACATGCAAACCGGTGCGCGAACTTTAGTTTAAATCAACAGAATAAAAACCGTTTCATCGGTGGAGGTGGCACGAACAACAAAAATTAAGCGGCTACCCGTGCAAAATTATATACTACAACGGTGTATACTACCTATTACAGAGCTGCAGCACGGAGAGACGGTTTAAATTGGTTTTCTCGATTAATTTACGATCGAGGCGACGCGCCACTCGAGTTGGCCGCGAATAAAAGTTCTTTTCCCCCATAGCGCCGCGTTAAATTAGTGCCAAACACGTCTGAATACATTATAAAATACATATATATATATTGCAGATAACACGACCGTCGCGGGCAGCAGAGGGGACGTAACAACGGTCCCCGGGGCGCAGTAACGCCTTCAATTATTACACGTGCGCGGGGGCCGACGAATTCACTACGGTACTACTCCTCCCCCAACCAACACCAAACGTATGTCGCAAAAAAATGAAAACGCACGGAGGAGAGGAAAAAAAACCAAAAACAAAAGTATAAAAAAAAAAATAAAAAAATAAGCCAACGTTAACAATAACGATTTATCACGGTGTGGGCAATATATAACAAACAGCGTGCACCTCGTTATTATTATTACAGCGGCGCGTGTGTGCTCGGTGACACCCGGTAATATCGAAAGCGGATAATCATATTTTCTACGCGGTTTTAGCCCTCACGCACGAGGTAGAAGGCGGGGGCGCTGCTCTTTTATTTTCAATTTCGCTACCGCGCATATTGAATATTATGTTTTATGACTTTTACCCGGCCGCGTATGTGCGTAAGTGTGTGACATTATTGCTAACCAGTGCCAGAGAATACGGAGACGAATACGAAACGCAACCCATAATGAGCGGTCCCGTTGTGTCTGCGGAGGGGCGACGACTCATTAACAACGAATGTTTCGGAGATTATTAAAACGACGTTACAATAACGCAGAAGAAGAGTGTATATATTTGCGGCCTAAACGAGCCCGTATAAACGTATACGATTATTACTCGTGTGTACGTGGATGAGAGGAGGGTTTCCTCCGGGTTGTGTGCTGCTCCATTTTTACCACGTCAACGGTGTGACCCGGCCAATGTATACAGTGTGAATTTTATCGGTGCCGCATCATAGACTCACTCCATACAGTATTTGTGTGACTTCAGCTATGCGTATTCCGTCGAATCATAATTATTTTTTAAATATTAGTTTTTTAAGTTATGGATATTAGTGTAGACAAAAACTGCAAATGTAACGGTTCGTTATTAATAGATACCAGAACGGTTTTGAATAAATTGTTTTACACACAGATATTCTTCTCGACGATCGGAATCTGTTATGTCATTGGAGGAATTCCAGCGATCGGAATTTGAATAAATGAATAATTTAAACTTAAGCCCGGGTCTAGCTCACTTAAAATAATACATGTACGAATACACGTTTACACATTATATGATACGCGCTGTGATAAGTGTTTACACCGTTGCCGAATAATAATAATAATACGCTGCGCAAACAACGCGATTCAGATACGTCGAAGACGCATAATATTCATAACACGTCGATCCGATATTTTTTCGTCCCTCATCAGCTAAAAGCTGTGTAACGCGATTTCCAGTTGAAATCACACCCATACACGACGTGTAAGTGGTTATACCAGGAAACCGTCGAATCAAACACGCACTTTATCTGCCTGGTTACCCGGTTATGCAAGAATTTGACGCAATCAATGTAAACGTTTACCGAAAGATGAACACGACTGGAGCACAGGGAAAAGGATCGGATTGCAGAAAGTCGTAGTAATATGATTAATAAAATTGAAATATCGCATGTAACAGTTGTAGAAAAAATGGAAACGTACAACGACGATGGCGTCGATAACGGAGGGTAAAAATATCGTAATGTGCGGTCAAGGGTTTTAGGATCACGGAACACGTGTTTGTACAAATGTAACGTGACTATTCGATATTCGCGAATATCTGCCGACAGAGTTATCCAGTGCTAGACTATACCTGCCCTATACACTCTAAAGTTCGCTTGCCAATATTTATGGCCCTGTTGCGGAACTCCAAGTGTCCGTCGAACTCGTAATACATATAGTTATTAATATAACTTTTAGCTATCCCGCACGCTAAGATATAGTGATCTATCTTCTGAGCATCATAATTGACCGTTGACGTCATCAGCTATCTCACCTCCTGTCGTACAGTAACCGATGTTGACCGGTGTCCGATATTTGAACCGATTCGACTAAAAAACGGAGGAACGTTGAGCTTACATAAAAGAGCCGTAACACAAAAAGTGGATGACTTCCCAGGTAGAGTTTTATTGCCACCCCTACACACGTTCTATACAATTTTTCAAGAACGGTCATATTTATTTCACACGGTCAACTTTTGATAATATTATAACGGAAATAAAAATCACATTATGGTCGCTATGCAAAATCTTAAAAATGGATGATGGATTATGGTTACAAAATAATGCTGCATCCCCTTAATTTCAAAATGATTTGGCACCCGGGGCAATAGTCCCCCTCACCCCTCTAAATACTAATGCAG